GTCATGTTGCTGTTAGCATAAACAAAAGGTGTTGCACAATGCTTGCACACTTGCACTTTTATCCACAACTTTCTTTCCGCCGTCGTCGTAGGTCACTCTAAATGCAAAGCGGTCCCATACAACAGACCTATAAAGTGCTGCTGGCGCGTCTTCCAACTCCTGTTCTTTTCCAACTCCTGTTCTTTCCCACTCGCCATTCCGACACAATTCTCCAAAACAACTGATTTTTTTCCCTGCTACACCCGGCTAAGTTGCTTTGCTTCTTCTTCTTCTTGTTTACTACTGGTGGTTGGCTTTGGTCGCAGTACCGCCACCTTCTGCTCTGGAGTGTAAACGCTTCCCCTATGAGAAAAAGGAGCAGTGCATGAACGGAACGAAACACACGCGAATCGAACCGAGACAGTCGAACCGAACGGTTCGGACGGTTTTCATAAATCGTCCCATCCCTAATATTTAAATCATTAATTTTATAATTTTTTTTTATTCCTGTTAATATGCGTAACCCAGAACTCCTGAAGTAGAAAAGTTTGAATTTAACTTGGCTTAATTCTGTAAAAAATCTTCTTTAGGGATCATTTTGCTATCCGATTTTTAATCAATTAATCGAAAAAAATTATTGATTAGCAAAATAATTGTTAGCTGCAGCCCTAGTCCAATCCCATTTGTTATCCATCGTTCTGTTAAAGCAGTTAGTCACATATTTAATTGCTTAGAAGTTATTATTAATGATTCAAACCTGGAAGTAGAGGACGTTAAACCATTGCTAGTTCAGCTCCTTGTGGTGAATACAAGCATGTTGTCATCATTGTTATTTCTGTTGCTAGTAGTAGTAGTAGTGAATTTCTTTAAGTCAGTTATGTATTGATTTGCATTGTTGAATATTTATCTCTTTTCAGATGGAACATTGCCATCCCAACTTTACCTACTGGACGCTCCATGGACTGTGGTAAGGAACAATCTGTATTTTAGTTTGAAAAACCATTGTTCTGTCTTCTTGACAAGTTCTAACCCATTTTAGAAAAATGTTTCTCCTTCCCAAGAATGTGATTTTTATGTATGCTATGGGGATTTAACAATAGATGCATTTGTACTGAACTATGGTGGTATAAATAGCCAAGGATAATACGTTGCTTTTAAGTGCCATCAAAGTCTTGGTAAGGCTTTAGGTGCATCAGACACTGTTGTTCCACACAGACTGACCTTTTCTATCAATAAGCAGAGGTAAAATGTCCTTTTACATTCCTTATTATGAAATATGGAACATTATGTTCCAACCGACTAATATAATAATGAAACTGTCATACAGGAAGTCTAAAGGGCGGCATAAAGTATCTGCTCTCCTGTTTCACTGTTCTGAAATATGTTTTGATAGGAAAAAAAAATACACTTTTAAAGTATTTTCCACAATGGTAACCTATCAACTTTGCTCACAGCCAGCCTGTGCCCATTGTTTTTTTATCCTTCCTCTGTATGTGGAGAGCATGATCTTTCACATTAATTGATGAGTTTTTACCTTAAACCTGAAATAAATCTACTGTCTTGAAGTAGAAAAAACATTTTGCCTGTCGCTTTGCCTTAAGGTTTGCTGATCGGTGAAAATGCCTCATCAAATGCACGGTGCTTCACTCTCCTGGATTTGCCGGGGCTTGTTTACGCTGCCTTGCATTTCCTTGTGGGTGGAGCGATCTTGCAGCTGGCATCATGTCAGTTGGTGGTGTTTTCTATCATAGTGAGTAGTTCACATACTCAGATGGGATTTACTCATCTGCTTTCAAGCCCGTTTGCTGTGACATGAGACTATTTCAAGGTGTTTTTATTCATTTTTTTATTTTAATTAATATCTGATGTGATCAAACACATTTGGATAACCATGTTGGTTTTTAGATCACCTATTTGTTTTTGCTTATTGAACTGTTTTTGTGTAGGGCTGTTTATTAAATAAATAAATAAAAAATTCTTAAAGAATATGTTTTTGCCTTTGTAACAACCTTTAAACATTGGCCTCGATTTCATATGCTACAACTGGAAAGCAACCTATGTTAAGCAACTATCTCTAAATTACAATTAGGGGAAAACATCTCTGTAGTGCACTGTTGTTGGCTTTGATTTAATGTCTGTTTTTTTGGGCTTTCTTTGTTTCAGGCCTGATAAAGGGAACCACTGCAATTCCTCCTGGCATTTCAACTCCTCTGAAATAGAGGTATGGCAGTGAACCAATTGTTATCTATGACACTGTAAACTTTGAAGCACTAAGAACAGACAGGATTATAGCCTTTCATTTGAATATTAACATATTAGCTGTGCAACTTTAATACTATCTGGAAAAGCTTAAGAAGGAAATATATTTTAATCTTCTCTCCACTTAAAATGAACCTTTTTGAAATGTATAAATTAAATCTGTTTTGTATTGCTTTTTTTTTGTTCAGGATCTGCTCCCAGACATGAGGAAGAGTTGGCCAGACCTGCTTAATCCTTCATCTGTACAATTCTGGAATGTCTCATCATTTGACTATTTTTAAGCAATTTATTTTTTATAGTTGTTTTTTTATGCTTGATTTTGGTTGCATACCAAAACACATACACACTCATATTATTTTGTTAGTATTCTTTAAGATTTTGTTTGTTTTGATGCAATTTTTTGTAGTTTTGGAAACATTATCAGGGCTACTTGGCATCAATTAGCTGCTTTGCATTAGTTCTTATTTTACTTTTCAATAATCATGTACCTCAGGCGCTCAGTGATCAATTATCTTTTAAAATATACAGTAGTACAGAGCACATTTTGTTTGCATCTAATTTTATACAGTCTTTTGAAAAAAGATAGATTGCATATCTGACTGCATTTCAGTCTCTGCATCCTTTTAAAATAAGTTATTGCTGCTTCCAATATGATATTAATTTATCTGTAATTTACCAAGATTAATCTAGTCCAGGTCAAAATGTTTTCTTGTAAAGTATGAATATGTAAAAATTATTTGCGGCTGATCTGCTTTTGTTTCCATCAGTAAAATTATTTTTCTTTTTGCGACAGGAAGTACGAATGGTCTAAACATGGAACATGTGCGGCTGAAGCAGCTTCCCTGAATAGTCAACATAAATACTTCAGCAAGGCGCTGGAATTATATCATAAGGTGGATTTGAACAGGTACAGGTTGCTTACAGATGATTTCTCATGCACCTGCATGTTATGCAGAAGCAGTGTTGCTTTATTTAGGTCTTTTGTTGTGATTACTGAAGTTCACCTATTTTGTGTCACCTTAATTGAAGATCTTTTCTTGTCGTTTTGCAGCATCCTGCTGAAGCTTAACATCATCCCATCATCTGACAAATACTACAATGTAAGTTTAGCTGTATTCTAGCACTGTATTTATAATAACACCAAGTTGAAATAACACCAACAGTACTTTGTTATTTTGCCATTCTTGCAGTTTTCAGAAATTGAGGAAGGGCTGGAAAGGTTTTATGGTGTGAAAGTTAAAATTCAGTGTGTGCATCCATCAAAGGTATAAACAGCTTATTTTCCTTTAAATAGTCAAACTGCAATTTTCAGTCTTGTATTGTGAAACTATTAAATGCTAGGTAGTTTCACAAGTTTTTGGTTTGTTTGTTTGTTTCTTGGCAGAATTCTGAGCCCCAGATCTTGGGACAGATTGAGATCTGTTTCGACGCTGAATTCACTCTGCATGACTGTGGGAAGCATTTTTCCATCGACACTTTTTCAAGAGGACTCGGGGACCATCCTCTTGGTGTAAACAATCCGTCTGGACTCAGCGTTTGTGCCCATGATATACCAGTTTATTACCCGCCTACTCCTTAAATGCAAACATTCTCAGACAAAGGAAGTGTCACACACTACTAATCTCCTTTTTTTTTATGCACAAAAAAAAGGTTGGGGTTAACCATAACCCTAGCTTTTGTTTGTAAATGCATTCTCATTTAGCCTGCACATTAATATGTAACCACTCTCTCGCTCTGTACTATGGGAGGAAAGTTTGAAATCAAATTTACTTTAGCCAAAATCATATTTGCATTTACAGAAACAAAAATGAAAGATAAACATGGAAGCTAAATATTTTTGGAGTAACCTCTTTATCATGCCAATGTCCCTAAAGTGAAGAGGTTTAAGCTGGGTTTGTACTCGCTGCATGGAACAGGGCTTAAGGTGGTGCAACTCAGCCTTTCTGTAACTTTGCGTGGACAAATTCTTTTTTACTGACGTCAAATGGGTTGAAAGTTTCAAGCGGCAACATTTTGTTAAATGCTCTATTGTTACTTTTTAATCTGTGACTTCAAACTACAAACACAAATTACTGGTATACCTTCAGGGGTACGTTTATTGGCCAGGTTTGAGTACAAACAAGGATTTAAATTTCTGTTTCCATCACTTGTAGAGTAAATTCAGCCTAAACAACCCCCCACAGAAGTTAAGCCATCAGCTTTTATTTAGTATGGCCAAGTTTTTCTTTTTTTTAATCTTTTATTTAAAAGAGATCCCTCTGGGATTTACATACCTGCTGTATTCTCCATCTTCACAAATTCCTCTATGCAAGAGATTAACATATCATCTTCTTCTTTACCTCCACCCCTGTTTATTTCTGTTTAACTTCCACAAACACATGAACTATTCATCAGACACAAAAGACAGCAGAATTTAGGTGGTTGTGAGGATTCAAGTCAGACTCTGTGATAACATTAATGAGTTAGCCTAGTGAGATAGTTTTGATTTCCTCCCTTTCCTTCTGTCTTACTGCACTATGCTGGAGGACATTCTTACCCATCTACCCATGGATATTGTCAACACACTGCCTTAGTGACTACCAGACCAATGCAATGTGATTAGACAGAAAAAAAGTATATTTTTGCATAGCTGTTCTGGGAAAACTGGTATTTTATAATCTGATTTATAATCTAATGCTGAATAGAATAAGACAAACAATAGAGTCCCATGTGTGATCTTTGTTTTTTTCTGAATTATAGCCCAATGTTGTTGAAATCTGCCTAACTTGATCTGGATTGCAGGTAGTTATGTAGTGCCTTTTCAAGTCAGATGACCCCAAAGCTCATTACACTACATTCAGTCATTCATACACTTATGGTTGCAAGATACATTGAAGCTACAGCTGTCCTGGGGCTCACAAACAGAAGCCAGGCTCCTGAAAATAAGGCAACACAGACTCTCTGACCACCATCAATAGGCTGCAGGTAAAGTGTATTTACCAAGAAACAACTTAGCCTGATGGAGCCGTTGTTTATTAATGAACTTTTTTTTATTTAACTTTACATAAAATGTAAGGTTAGATATGGGCCTTTAAATACTTTGTATTTGTATTGTTATTCTTCAACATAAATGAAGAAGTTCAGTTCAGCAAAAAAAGCAAAGACTAACAACAAATAATGTTGACAATATAATGCAAGAGGAAATTATTAATAGAGATATGAACGAATGTGAGTAATAATATTTGAAAAAAGACATAGAGGTAGTATTTCGTAATTAAACATAAATCCCTAAAAATCATTTCTTTTTTAAAGACCTCATAGTTGTATTTCCTTTTTTTTGTGGATTTAAAGTTGATCCAGGGAAATCTGAAGGGTTTTTCTTATGGTGAAATAAAATTGTCTTTTTTTTTTTCTTTTTTTTTACTTTGGAACTTCTTCATGTCATTCATTTAACATTTCTGATGGTTTCATATAATTTCTTTTTGAGTTTTTGCCAAAGTATATAAAAGCAAAATATAAAAAGCAATCAGAAAGTTGCTAAGTCACTTTCTCTTTTTTTTTTGTAATGAAACTCTAGAAATGCTTAACAAACAAGTACAGTCTGGATTCTACCTGTTAACTTGATTTATTTTTATGTGTTCTATACATGGGTGTTTGATGTAAATTAATATTTGCTGTTGTCTCAAAATCACAGCTTATTGCACAGTGCTTTCAGCTCTTATTTTCCTTATGAATAAAAATATTTGATTCTTACTGATGTCATCAGCTGTCTTGTAATTACAGTGTTTTAGAAGCAAAGTGAAAGTTTGAAATGTATCAATAACCCTTGATGAGGAACTCTATTTGGACAATCTAACTTAAAAAAAAATAAGGTATTAACTGTTCTTTCTTTCTGTAGTATGATTCAGCATAGCAGTACTTGTGTATTTAAGGCTGTCTGTGTCACAGTCTGGCTGCTGGGTATAAATATTAATGTTGTGATCTCCTTACAGAGCTTTAATCCTACTAGGACAAAGGCATCAGTCCATAATCCTGAATCTCCGCCCACAGCAGAGCACAGCAGATTGACTGAACACATTTGATTACATTTTCCAATAGTCCTAAAATGCTCCAAAAACTGTTTACCTGATGTGACCCAGATTGTGTCAAACCAACCTGTGAAAATCAGTCTGACTTTTTTTATTTCTGAATATTAGGAAATTACCCCACGGGTAAACTGTGGAAACTTCATAAACTGATAACAGCTCTGGTTTTAACCCCCAGCTCATCACTATATATTTCTGCATCTTCCTGAGGTTATGTAACACTGCAGCGCTGCAAAAGCTGCTGATGTGACAGATCCAAATACCATCACAAACACACACACCGATGCTTACTGCACAAACCAGATCACTGCGTTCCCAGTGTGACTATTGGCCCAGATTGTGTCATCCTTATCCAATTCTCTGCTCAGCATTTTATTTAATTCTGACGCCATATCGTGTCCTGATATGTTGTCAAAATAAATGCATCTCTAAGGATGCAGCAACGGAGAAGATCCATCCAGGGGGAGGCTGCAGGTTTGCGCCATGTGACCTCACCAGCTGTTGCTGTGCGCTGCTGGGAAAGACAGAAGGTGAAAGGGAGGGTGGCGCACAATGTGACTGATGACAATCCCTGTTTCACAATGAGGGAGCGCAGAAGATAAACCCAAATATGCCCATGCAGAGATGTGAGGAGGGAAGCTCATGCACACCTCTTCTGATTCAGCAGAAAGGATTTATTCGTCACCTCTCTCCCCTTCACACACTGAGCTTGCTGCAAAACACGCAGGGCAATCCTACAGCGCGCATCGACCCGCTGCGTGGATTAACAGCTCTGTTCCAACTTCTTCTCTCAATCACTGGGTTCGCGTCGCAGTCCAGCTAAACTGAGATCTGTTAGCGGAGCGCAGAGGATGGATAAACCGCAGATTGGGGATGCGCCAGCAGGAAAACTGCGAGACAAACAGGGGATCTAAAAGAGGAGCTGCGCGTCTGTGAGCCCGCCCTCCAACAGGGAGATGTTCATCATTATGGGATAAATGCACAGGTCGGATCGTTGCTATGGATACGAGCACGCGCAAATTTACAGTTCGAAGGTGGTTTTCGATCTACCTGAGGAACAAGGCGACGCGGAACAAGAACAGCTCTGGGTTCTGTCAGTTGGAGGTTAGTGATGAAAACATCACCTTTAGTTGGGAGGCATGCACAGGTGAATAGTGCTGCATCACTACTGCAGCTGTGTGTGTTGAATGTGAGAAGCCTGGACAGGCAGCATCCCAAAACATAAACACAAACAGCTCGTAGCTCAGTTTGTTGCAGAATAATTTAGTAGGCAGTACTAGTTTTTGCCTTTCTCTCAATCTGCCAAGAATTGGAGCCCGAGGCCCACATGGAGATGTGTTTTGGCAGAGATTGGCTGTGTGAGAGGCTGGGTGTAGGACACACATCTATGAAGCACAAGGCAAAGCGAGGCAGGTTTGTCAATACGTGAAAGCAACAGCAGAGGGGTTCTATTTATAGCCCAAACACATCAATAGGGTCACTGTGTGAGGTGCCCAGCACACCTACATGCCTGAGCTATAAATGCAGTAAAAAAAATTCCAAGACCTCCCTTTATGGATGCGTCTAAATCAGCTTGAGTGATTGTTAGTTTGAGAGAATGTTCATCTCTCTGGAGGGCATCTGCCCTTGATGGTGACAGCGATCATTCATAGGCCTTAAAGTTTACACTTTATCATTTTACAATCATGACATTTCATTGGGATTTTCATGTTCCCCCAGGTTTATTTTGACTCTTCCCTGTGACCTCTACTTTCACAAGGTCAGGACTGGTAAAAGAGATGATTAATGTGCCATTATTTAGACTCATTAAGATTGCACAATGCATTGAGAGACATTGTGCTGCTAATAATGGTGTGTTTGACTTGCAAATGAGTGAAAAACCCAATGGCGTAATGACACAACAATAGGTCCGTAACCAACATTATCTGGGTGGGCCCCCATACGAAGTACAACACCTCATCGCCGCAAACTTTACTCAGCGTAGCCGCAACGTCCACCATTCCCTCTTCGATTCTTTGAAACAACGTGTTTATTTTGGGAAGTTTTTTCCGTTCTTCCAGCAGCTCTTTGCTTTTTCTTTTCTTGAATCAGCTTAAGTACCTCTTTCTGGTATCTATCATCTTTAACACCTTGTACATAACGGTTATGGTTTTAATCTACCCATAATTCCAAGTCGTAGGGAAAAAAATAATAATACTCAAATACATCGTTCCTTTAAGATCTTCATTGCGGTTTGAAACATATTATATGAGTGTCGTTTTTTACCAACCGTCCAAGGAACTATACACAGTTATTAACATAGTAATTAAAAGTACCACTGTCTGCTTTGCTATTGGTTGTTGTGTTTAAACGGCTCACCATCCTGTTGAAATCTGCCATGTGTTGGGTTATAAATAAGTCAGTCAGGTAAGCATCAGGTGGGCAAAATAGAAATTTTTTGCACCGTTATATCTGCAAAGAGACGTCCTAATCCACAATTGCATAGGGGGCCAACCAGGTGTCAGTGACGGGGCCCCTAAGAGGTTGGGGGCCCCTAAGCAACTACAGTCTCTGCTTACCGATATTTACACCATTGGCAGAACCCCCTTTTCTCCTGTTTCCTCTTTAAAAAATGCCTTTATCCTGTCCTGTATTTGTATACTTTCTCTCCTTGTTTATTTCTCTACTATTTGCAATTTGTTAATCTGGACTGTTAACACATGTCCTATTGCCTTATACAATTTTATTTCATTGATTTTTTTATTTTAATAAACAACCATGAAGATCAAATTGTGCGAGGCGTTGTCCCCGAGCTTTCCTGTTACCGGTTGCCAATCCCATTGAGTTTGACAAGGGGGCGTTACTGTCACTGGTCCCTTTTATTTTGTGCAAGACTGGATGTATGGTGGGTAATATGCTCATCAGTCATCTGAGGTATGCAGATAACTTAAGCTTGGTTTATGCTTGACATGTCTGCAAGATCCTTGCAGCTAAATTAATGTCATTTTGGACTTCCACGCCCCTCTGCGCGGACTCCTTGTGGACAGTTATTCTGTCACCCTGTAGTGCTGATTTACAGCAACTTTAAAAACAGCAATTTTTGAGAGGGTGTACTGAGTATGTTGTGCACCATGTTACCGGATGCAATCTGAAAAAGTGTGTGGTTATAATAATTAGAACTAAGAAGGGTCAAAAGCAAAGGTTTCCTTCCATTTTGTCTATCTGAGCATATTAATCTGTTTTTATTGCAAATATTTGTTGAAGATCCCTACAGGTACCACCGTAAGTGGGAAGAAGGAGCAGCCACACAGATTCTTTGAGACAGTGGCTCAAATAGCTACATCTCAGAGCTGCTACCCCTCTTCTCTTCTTCTCCCCTTAGTCTCCTGTCTTTGGTGAAGATGATAGTACTGTAAGGCACTGTAGGGTTTCTCCTGTAAGGGGAACAGAACACCTTGCCTGTTCCACCAGGCCAACAATTCACCTTAACGACTCCCCCTTTCAGAGATATAGACAGGTATTGGGTATTACAGGCTATTAAAGAAACCAAACACCCCCCAAGGGAAGGAGGATCCGTTCGTCAGGTTCAATTTGCATGTTTTCTAAGCCAAAACAAGGCTTTGTTTTTGGTCGATTCTCTAAAGCCTGCCATTTTGAATTGAAAAAGCTTCCTGGATGTGATGCTATACGTCTTGAAACTTAAAAACAAAGTCCAGAGGATTGTTTTTCTAACTTTTTTTTAGAATGGCAAACAGAGATCTGACATCTCTCCAACTGCACAGAATCACTGGGATTGATCTGCTCTGCCTTTTTAAATATTGGCCTAAGTATGGCTCTGGAGAGATGTAAACTGTGTTTTAGAGTTAAAACAACACATTTATGCCCCAGGCCTAAAGTTTTCTTGTATGCCCTGTGCTCACTGTCCTACAATGCGAAGCTCAACTAGCACCTGGCAGAAAATACCAGAACTGGCAGGTGTGGCACCTTGTTCTTTTCCACAGATAGGAGCAGTTTCACTCTGAGCTTACAATATGTGACAGACAAGAAAATGTCAAGGTGTGATTAATGTTATTCTGCCTGTAACACTGTTCACCATGTTAAGTTTGGTGGTGGAGAGGCACATGTATTGAGAGATGGACACACCTGTTCAGGATAAACCCTGCAAGAAGTTTACCAACATTACCTAAATCCCTCTTGAAAATAACCTTATCTGATTTGAGTAGGTAAATAAAATGATCAACCAATTGAATAAGATTTTTGCACTTCAAGAAATAACAAAAAATATCATCTTCAGATAATCTTACTTACCTGTTAAAATCAATTTCTCCAGTGTGAGATCATAAAAGTTGAATTATTAACTCTTAATGTACAATGACTTTGTATCATTAGGTATCAACTATAAGAGATGAGTAAGTATGAATTGATTACTATTTTAGTGAAGGAGACAGCTCTGCTACTCTGTCTGCCTGGCTGGCTCTTCTGATCCCGGCAGAGGCGTAGCCAGAAAATGTACACTGAGGGGGCGCCGAAAGTGTATAGGCACCAGAACGTCAGGGTCAATCTACACTATTGCAACAAGAAAATTAACAAGCACAACATCCATATATTCTAAATAAAGACAAACTATACTTTCCTACAGCCTCTGCTAACAAATAGACCCATATATTTAATCATCCGTTCTTTCTAAATAAAAAGTATAGTGGATAAAATTCTTTCAGGTTTGAGTTCTGGGGTGAACACCTCTTCCTTTGTCATTACTTACCAACTTTTATCAACAATTATTCAGCATAAAATTGATATTTACAAGTACTAATATATATATAAATTGATTATTACGTTTTTATTAAAATAGTTATTTATGATTTCACTGAAGACTCCTAGATGACATTCAGAGACATAATTTTCTATTTACCCCATATAACACAAAATCTAGCTCTGAAAAGAGCATGAAATCTGTGCTTATCATCTTTAATGTTACTATATGTATATTTTAACCACAAAAAATTTTAATGTTTTGAATATTCCACTTCAGAGTATTACTCCTGCAACCATCTGTATTAGAGGGAAAAAAATGGTAGGGGTGGCTAATGATTGGCGAAGGGTGGCTATGGCCACCCCTTGCCCCCCATCTAGCTCCGCTCCTGATCCCCCGATTTCATTCTTCCACCCCCAGCAGCCTCCAGCTCCTCTGGAGGCTAGTTCTGGCCAGCCATGGCCTCTCACTGCTTATTATCCCTGACTGAGCAGCAAAAAAGTGCTGCTGTCATACTCTTGGCCAGCACTAGCCTCTCTTCCACCTTCAGGGTAATGTTATCCGACCTTCCGCCTTGCTCCTTCAATCCTCCAGAGTTAACCTCTATTAGTCTCAGTGCTGTTTCCCCCGTGGGCTTCTCCGATCTACCAAGGTGTTCCTCGGCTATCCTCTTGATCTGCCATAGAAGAATGGGGAGCCATTCTCTGGTGTGCTGTTTGCCCAGTGGCTCCTCTGATCAACCGCTGGGGTTCTGAAGTTCCTTAGGGTGACACGACTGTCCCCTCATCCTGGCTATGTTGTTCTCCTTACTGCTGCTCCCTACAATCATTTTTTTATCTAACAAATTACTTTTCCTTCTTAAACCTTTAACTGCCTGGTCAACCTACAACCTGCATTTTGATCAGCAAATGGTCAACATTTGGTTGACCAGGCAGTTAAAGGGTTAAAAACACTTTTACATTACAGACAAGATCATGTTGCATATGATATACCTTGATCAATAGGTTTTCTTAAGTGCACATACTGCTAGAGGAGGTAACTGCTTTCTGTTGCTGGTGCAAGAAAAGACACTGATTGGCTTAGGAACATATTGACAGGTGGTCCTTTAACTTTACAATATTTTCTATTAAAAAGACGCTGATTGGATGACGGGCGTGATATTGGCAGGTGTTCAGAATGCAATGATTGTTCGCACGAACTGACCAATGTCAGAGTTGCAATGCAATGCAAGAGAGCCCTGCAAACTCAATACATTTATTCCCAAACTAGAAGCTTAGAGACTATTTTTAAAGTTTAAGGCAAAATGTTCTAATGATTTACTTATTCTTTCCTGAAACAAAGAATTTATGGACATTGATTACAAGCTACTTTAATCCTACCACCATTTCATAACACTAATTTACAACTAGCTGGTTTATTTTTGAAATGTGTTTTTCTTTAAATATTTAGTTTAATACCCATTTGACTTACATGGCTTTTGTTTTGTTTGTTTTTTGTGTGGAAATATATAACAAAATTTGTGTTCTTTTATCTTCACTATATTGTTCTAATTGCTGCTCAATTCCGTTTGGTAAAAAATGATGAAACAAGAGGAAAGTTTATTTTGGAAATTGCTGTCTCTTCAGAGAAAGAAATAAAAAATAAGGCTACTTTTCTGAACTATTAGCAAATGCTAAAGACATTTTTAGTATCAAATCCATTTCCTGTATGTGTCTCTACAGTTTCAAGAGATCCATGTGCTAAAGGCTGGGTGTTTGGCTTAGAAGCAGCTGTGTAAAAAATCAGATCGCACAGACTGTAGCAATATTCCTTTTGGAAACATAAATTTCCCCTTTAAAAAAATATACAGTACATTTTTTTTGCACTTATTTTTAGAAACCAGCTTTGTGTTCAATCACCCCACTGGGGGGTGGCCTTAATTTAAATGGCAAGGAAATTTAAGCTATAAAACATGTCCTTAAAATAATCCTGTATATTGAAGCTTGTGTTATTACACAGTGTATCAGGTCATCAGTTATAAGTAATAATCTAAGAACATCTAATAACTGATGTCACTCTGAGCTATGGAAGCCAAAGAAGCAGATTGGTAAAAAAAAAAAAAGAAAACATTTTTTTTTTTGATTTTTCCAAAAATTACATTTTTAAAAACAAAAAATTTGGCCAAAACTGTAAACACTTTGCACATGGCTCTTATTAAATTATTTAAACAGTTCAGCTTTTCTCTCTCAGAATAAATAATGGACACAATGAGTGTTTTTATTTGACCTTTTGGTCAGCTTAAACGGACCATATTCTACCAAATTGAAGCTGTTTAACCTTTTGAACATTTAAAAAAGGTGTTTTTCTTCTCAAAAAAAAAAAAGACATCACACAGTTTCAGTTTCTCAATTAAGCTGCTGCAAGCTTATGGGTTACAACAAAAGTAATTTATTCTAACACAGTCTATTTTATTAGAAACAAAACCGCAAATTTATCATTTCCATTGTTTACATTTACTTAATTTCATCTTCTTTTCGAACAACGGCTCTATTATAAGGCATATTTCCTTTGTTTTATAAATACCATTTGCCTTTTGGGACAGATCAATTTGCATTGCTATGAAAACGTATTTACAGTTTTCCTCTGTTTTTGTTTTTTGCTTTTTTCTCTACACTTCTTTTATTCAAATCACCGCACAAATATTGTTTGGGGAAATTTAGATGATTAAACAAAAAAACATGAGTTTTAAAGTGATGACCTTATTAGACTTAGATCTATTTGTCATTTTGTTTACACAAGTGTAAAACAAAAATAAATTTTGTTTAGAATAGCTCTCTGGACAATTTCTTTTTTTTTTTTTTAAGTGCAGCCTTTAAAAATAGTAGAATATATTATTATTATTTATTATTACTTATTTGTTATAGGAAAAAGTTGTCAAAACTGACCTGGCCCTATATCCCATTTTAGATCATTAATTTAATATGATTAAACTTTAATTCTATTTTTAGAAAACTGAGTTCAGTATAACAAAACAAATCTAGGGCTGATTATTACTTAACCTACAGAACAGATATAAATAATTATCTAAACATAAAATATGTCAAAAACACATGACTGAATTAAAAAAAAAAAAAAAATGTTACATAAGCGAAATTCATTGACATCACAACATAAAACAACAATCAAAGCACCGAAGGACTCCCTTGCACAAGGTCATAGTCCATGATTTAACAATAACAAAGAGAGACTGGCATCCATGGGAAAGACTTGAGGCCTTAACCACTACTGACCAACAACCCTCAAGGGTTTGGGGAAAATACTTGGGGATCTACATCTTATCCAAAACACACACAAAATTTCAGAAACATACCATTGTTAAAATAATCAAACATATGGCAGGGTACTGCTTTGCTTTCTTAAGATCTGGACTATTTGGAAATGTGAATTTTGGTCTCTACCAGGAGTATGTTCAGCCTTCAGTACAGAACCTTAAGCTCATCACACAGTTGTTCTGCAATAGAACAAAGATTTAAAAAACAGCAGTATGGGCAACTCTATTATTTCTTTTTAAATGTAGGTTTTGATTGGCTTACCAAAGTCTGGAATTAAACACAATTCAGATACATTAACGTCACATTAGACGAGTCATTTAGCCCCCAATAAAACATTCAACACAGTGAAATAAAAAATTTTTTGTAAAGGATAATGGGTCTGAATGTTTCACTGGTGATATTAAAGACTAAGCCAGATTTAACCAATTCCTGATCCCAGTTGTTGCTGCTAAGGGTTAAATTATATTAAGAGTAAACTCATGCTACTTGTTCTTTTTTTTAATGAATATTCCCCCAGGTTATATTTTTTTTCCTACAGTGCACATATTTATTTCTTAAGTCTACAGTGCACATATTTATTTCTTAAGTCTATGAATCCCTATCAATCCCAAATCAGTATTAAAGTTTAACTATTTTAAAAATTTAAGGGCATAACAATTACTTGAACTGGGCTATCCTGTCTAATATTATAATCACAAGCAGCAGAGAGAGAGCTTTATTCAGACACTATATATACACCTGGCGCCTGCATTAGTATACAAGAGAGCTCTAATCTTCCATCTATCAGCAAAGACTACATTTAAGGTTGTAATACGTCCATCCGTGGTTCCTAAAACTGTGAGTGCTAGATTAGTGACACCTATCACCTGTCCCCTAAACATGGCAGAATATCCAAGAATAAATCTCACCCAGCCTTCCAATCTCTGGTATTAAAATAAGTAACAGTTTCATGATTCTATACATCAGCTGACAGCATCTGACATTAGGTTTAGGAAAATCCATTTTTCACATAGGACAAGACTGAATGGATTTTCACTTAATGAATGAAATCATGATCTAAAAGTTTTGTTTTATCCAGGTTATCATATTCTGTTTTTATAATGTGTTTGATAAACTGAACAATTAAAAAGAGATAAATAAAAAAGAAAGAAATCTGAGTGAACACTTGTTCACCTCACCATGTGTCTTTTTAAACTGATAATCATTTAACATTAACTTTTGAAGAATGACTCAACAATCTTATCAGAAACATTTTCTTGATTGTCAAAAAAGGTTTTTAATATAAATCTGCTAGGGGTGTGAATACTATTGTTGATGACATTAACTCTAAGCATTTATTTTAGATCTTACCTATTTAAGTCATGTCTATTAGGGTCAGACACAGTTTTAATGACTATATTAATTGCAAATAATGATCTCCACATTGTTTTCCCTCAGGATGACAGTGTACTTAAGGAGATTGATATCAGCCACCATGTTAAGGAGGGCTGTGAAAAAGCGGACCCCTCTCAGTTCCAGTTACTGAAGGTCCTGGGACAAGGATCCTATGGAAAGGTAATACAAGTTTGATAACTTAAGCATTATGTAAAGGAATACCAAAATACAAATATGGTGTAACTTCATACATAAATTAAATAAAGGTTATGATGCAAACAACACATTTATGAAACTAAATCTGGCAAGTAGATCAGAGTTGGTTCAGACTCTGCTGGCCTTTATCTCAGGCTCTGTGTTAAGATTTTTCACTGTTTCTGTCACAATCACAAAACCTTGTGCACTAGATAAATGTTAGCTTCAAAAGGTTGATTCATCATGAGCCTGAGCAGCCGATCAGATGGAGACTTTGAGAACCGCCTGTAGACAGGGGAAAAACCTGAATAATGAGATCTCATTTATAAGATTCAGTTGTTAAATCCATCAAGATCCAAATGTAGGGCACAAGAAAGTAAGTTGTTTTGGTGGATTATTTAGAGATAGCATCAAGCTTCTTGACTGCAGCAGTTAAATGCATCAGCCAATCATGTATGCCATCAAATGGAAGAAAAATGTAGGCAGTTATTTATGGGTTAAAAATATTTGAATGACATTAAAACTGTTAAGATAATGTGCATCACTCATCTTTTTGCAAGTCTTTAAAAAATCTAACTAATAAAGAAATAAAATATAACTGATTTTGAAAAGACATTGTCATGACTCATTCCAACAGTTTGACTAAAATGGAATATTATGTATCATCTGTTCCATATTAATATAGGATCAATTTAATATTTCCATCATTTTAATTCTTTCTAAGGCGGATAGGGACAGATTTTTACCTTATTTTAATTTTGTCAAGATTCACTGTGTGGATTCGATTTACTTTAAGATATATATA